TTTTGTTCTTTAGTGACTTCAGTTTGTCTGTCTTCCCACAAAAACAATTGTCAAATCCATACCAGAAAAGGCCCAATATTAGCACTTGGCTGCTCCTTCTCCTGGAATACCTGATCAGCTTTAAGTGGGTTGAGGCCCACACTTCTCAGGTGGGCCCTGTGGTACTGCAAATCGTGGGCTTCTTCTTCACTTCTTTCCCCCATGATAAAACAATCATACCCGAATGATTATGCCCGTCAGATTGGGAGACTCCTTTTGATATTATTTTAATTTAGGTGTGTTAATGGAGGGAGAATCCACCATTAATGCGACAGATCAGGTGGTTACCATCATTAAATAGAACCCAATTTTGGAATAAAAGATCGCCTTTTTAGATAGAGTATGAATGGTCCCACCCGACTGCTGTACTCCATCTATCCATGCAGAAATTGTGACCGTTTGCTGCCAGCTTTCAGCATTGGGACCCACATTTCGCCTACTCTTTCACTCTTTTAATTGTGAAAACCATCATGCAATAGATGATGGATCAGTGGAGTTGTCAATGGGTCGGAGCTGATTCGTCCCGAACCGATTATTAATTGGTTCCGGGCCCATAACCATCCCATTTTTTATTTGAACAACCCGATTAAACCCTACATTATATTTGAGATCTATAATTACCTTGATAATAACAACCAAAAATTTTACTTTTTACAATATAACTTTAATAAAAATACTTGTAAAATAGTAAATTATATATACTGATAAACCAAATATTCTTAATCAAAATTATCTCATATATTATTTGTTAAATCTACCCTTTTAGACATAAAATATAATCAAAATTACAAAAAAACTAAAGAACCTTTGCCTTTCAATGACTATATAATTGGTTCAAATCTGAATCGRTTTGGAAAAGCAATAATCGTTCTCAAACTAATTGTTAATCAGAACAAAACTATAAAAGCAGAATCAATATAAATTATAATCAATTTGGTCAATTGGTTTGTGCTGGATAGACCTGACCCGTTACCATCCCTAGTTCAGGGATCCATTATCTTCCATAGAACTTCTATACACGTGGCACCCACCAACTGGATGGCCACCATTGGGAGTAGCTTTTGACCCGAACCGTATGCCCGCCAGATAGATACGGGTTATTTCTGTGCTGTTTGGTTGGTAACTCTCAGTAGCCACCCGCCATGGCTTCACCATTTAATCTGGTTTTTGAAGTGACCCGACCCGAGTTGTTTGCTTCGGTAACACGGTCCGAACCAAAATATCGCGCTCGCCGAGATAAGCGTGATATCTTTGCACCGGGGAGCCCGCCATTTCTCCCTCCCGCGCTTAATATCCCATCATCACCGTCATCATCATGATCACATAATTGAAAGACGTGGTCCCACTRGAATTCATCCAATAAGATAAGAACACGTATCAATCCTGTCAGCAGCCGAAGAAGTCCACGTGGGCCTGTCCCCTATGGATGGGACCCACACCAGTAACCTCGAAAAGGGTCCCTTCAGAAGGTCTGGGCCCCAGCGGAGGGAAAACGAGACCGTACGCCGAGCATTAAATTCGAGCACGTGGCGGTGCCTGCGGCGTACGATGAGCGGGCGATCGCAGCCGTCGATCTGGAGGAGTGTGAAGACCGATGCAGCGACGTGGTTTGACTCGCGACGCAGGGCTGTCAAATTAAATGGCAATCGAGGGGTTGGCAGTGGAGAGGGTTCGAAGCGTCGACGTCGCCGATTTAATCGTTCCCTCGTTACTCGGGCTCTCCTCGTTTCCCGATCCTCCGCTCCCGCTGACACCGACACTACCGGTCTCCGGGCCTCCTCATCTCACCGTCTATTTGTTATGCTTCAACGGCCCAGATCTGTCTATTCCTAAATCGCCGTCTTCTCCTAGACGTGTTTCACGGAAGACCCTGTTACCTCGATAGATCTCACCCAAACAAGAAGAAAGCTTGCAACGAAAAGGAGGCGCGGGAGGATAAATAAAAAAAATAAGGATACTGAAATTTTAAATAAATACATGTTCCCTATATTGCCCATAAATCAAGTATTGTCCAAACAAAGAATGGGCAGACACTATGATATTAGTTTTAGGGTTTTGAGTTGTGACCAATTCAAGAGTATAATCACAATTCTCCCCAAACATTTTTTTTGGTGAAACTCCCCCAACATTTAACATCTTTATCCCGTATCGGCCGATATGTATCGTATCAGGAGCCTCCTAATACGTCCCTACAGAGGATATATTGGGGTTCTAACCGGTTCAGGGGGTGGAGGTGTCTTAAACCATCCCTAAACCGATTTTAAAAAAATAAAATAAATAAAAAGTAATATCAATACCACCCGATACACCCTTACCGGCGTATCAGGCATATTGATATTTAGAACCTTGAATCCTTGTATTGGTTTTAGTGAAAGTCATAAAAATTAAATTTGATCATGTAATGTTTGTTTATATTTTACTTTTTATTCGTAGACATGCATAGCACATGCCCTTACACTATATTTAGAAAAAAAATAATGTCATTCACAAGGAATTGATCGATCGACAAGTATGTTATATTAAAATAACTCATGAAACCTTACAAAATATTGCATTCATAATTTGTTGGTTTGAAATTTTAGACAATAAGAGAAATTGTAAGTTTTTTGTTTTGATTTTTGAGCCAACGGGTGATTATACACAAGGGATTCTCATTGTTTGGGTATGGTTAATTATCAACAAAAAAAAAAAGATATATGAAAATTTACTTGAGATCCTGATTATTTAAGAAAGGGAGAACAAATGTAAGGTTAATGTGAATTGGGAAATTGGTTAATTGGCCAATTTGGGGGGTGTTCGACAATATGGTTGGTTTTGCTTTTGAAAACAAAAACAACTGCTACATCAGAAAATTATATTGCTTTTGCTAAAGTAGAAGTTGATTTTGTTTTCAAAAATAAAACCAACCACAAACACCCCCTTAGATGTTCCCTTATCTAATGGTTACCCATGTTGGACCCTATCAACATTAATTTGCAATTAATGGCTAAAATAAAGTGGTTGTTCAATGAGGACATGTGGATTATTCTAAGGGGTAGAGCTTGAAGAATTTGAGGGATACAAAGCTTACATATCACTAAACATTAGGCATCATCTATTAGGACTGGAACTGCCCATGATGTGTGTAGGGAACCCTCTAGACTTGGCTGGATTTTCAATTGTCCAGTCCACATCAGCAATGTAACCCTCTTGTTTCAGCTCGTGGTTTCACCAACAAATATTCTCCATTAAAAGTTTAACTTTTCAATATAAAACTTGAGCCCACAAAAAGTGTTCAATTTGAACAAATGGCAAGAGCTTTTAGAAAAAAAGTAAGCAGACCATGAATATACAGTGGAGAAGGAATAAATGAGTACTCTTGAGCTCCAAATTAATATGCCACATGGAAGATTCTTGGTTCATTTAAGGAAGCTCACTAAATGATCCAACCAACAGACCCCATGCAGATAAACCCCCATAGGGTGGGACACACAGTATTGCATTTGTTACCATTTGAGAGTGGAATCAGACATAAAGAGAGAATGGGAGAGAAATGGTGGTCTGTTGTAACTGTTTTACTGTTTTTCTTTTTCAAAGGTTTTAATTATTGTTCATTACATTTACAAAATTAGCCCTGTCTACCTAATCTTAGGCCCTCTTTAAGTATGGGTAATTAATGAAAAACAGAAGACAAATATGAGGCAGACCTCACCAACATTCTAGGAGTGTCACTTCACTTATATAGTAATAATAGAAAAGATATATGAATTTTATATTGTCACCAATTTCCATTAGCATTTTCAACTTGATATTTATTATTTTTCCAATTGTTATCTCATCAAAGCCAATACTGTTAAAAAAAGTTTTTTTTAGCTACAGTCAGCATTTGTTGTTTTGTGCTTTGTTATCTAGATTTAGGAGATTCGTGACAATTAGACAGACACCAGCGCCTAATTGTATTAATTAGTTCAAGCAGCTAGCTAATATGAGCTGGACATGTGAATTCACATAATGTGATTGTCTTCATCTGTTCAGTACAGATCATGCTCCTAATTACATTATAGGATTAAGGGTTCAAGAAGGATGAGCTCTTAACTTGAAGACAGATAATATAGAAGCATCTGAGACCAAGGAACTAGTTATCTATCAAACCCATATACATCCCCACAAAACAAAAATGAAAAAAGAAAAGAAAATTTTGGACCTAAAACCCAGCATTACAATTGAGATAAAAATGTGATATTCTCTATATAATTCCAATAAAAGCATCTTAGAGTACTAATTAAGCACTGAGTAATATTAATCTATCAAATCTATACATCCTACCAAAAGAAACAGAAAAGTTGGACCTAAAACCCAGTACAGTATTCCAATTGAAACTACAAGAAAAAAAATGTGATAGGCCTATTAATTCTTCTCTCCATCCTTCCAATTCTATGAGGTGTTTTGGAAAAACCTTCTGCTACAATAAAACAAAATGATCAAACCTAGACATATTATAATTAAAAAGAAAAAACTAGACCCTTGATGTCCATATAGCTGGTTCCCATAATATTAATTAGGTTTTAAAGGTGAAAAAATAAAAATAAAAAAGAATTTCTTTTTTTTTTTGGGGGGGGGAGGGGGTCACAACTTCACATTCACCGTGGTGAGACAGGGCTTGGTGGTCAACCGTACGAGGGAATTTAAAGCAGGGAGGGAGAGGCTAAAAATAATAAGGTAATGATGATAGAATCATAAAGATGGGTGGTGAGCTGTTCAAAAACTTTTGGATTTGTCATGTTGTGGTGAGCGTGTGAGAGATATTGTTAACGGGAGTAGCAGGTAAGAGGTCGGTGGTTGACCGGCAGCAACAGGTGTGAGTGGATGACGACCTGGGAAATGAAAGAAAACATTCAGATAGGGTTAGGAGCTGAGGGACTGCCTACTACTGTGCTTAGGGTTTAGGTTAGTTTTAGTAAGCTAATTTTAAGGGTCTAAATTCTGAAATGGAGAACACCCCCCTTCACTCAAATATTAAATCCCACTTACTGATTGTGTTGTGTGTGTGAGTGAGATGTCTTTCTTCAAAACGAGGTCTCAACCCTTCTACTCTCTCTCTCCCCTTGGAGAGTCTATAAAGCTTTCTGGGTTAGGGTTTTATAGAGGGAAAAAGGGTTGTTCTTGGTGTTGTTGCTGCTGTTGAGGGGAATGTTGGCTGGCTCGAGGCTTTCAGTTTCAGGGGTAGCTCTCTGAAGAGAGGTGAAGGCGTCGGACCAGGCTTCATTCCCCTCAACCATGATTATGTGTTGGTTCTGCTAGCTGTTACGCCCTCTTCAGCCTCTTCATGGTGTCTCACTCTCTCTCTCTCTTGTGCAGTAGAGATTAGAGATGTTTCGTTTAGGTTGGGTTGAGGGGAATGTTGTCTGGCTCGAGGTCACGTAGGTGATTTTGTAGATTTTCCTATAGTTTTTCTTTAGAGTTCTATGGAAAGTTTGGATTCAATCCCTAAGTGACCTCGGACCAGGCTTCATCCCCGTCAACCAACATATGCTATCTTCTCTTTTCCATCTATCTCTGTCTCTCTCATGTTTTCTCTCAAGGTGAGAACACATCAAACTTGTAATCACAAATTCTCTCTCTCTCTCTCTCTCTAAAGCTTTGAATTTACAGGAATTTTCTTTGATTATGAATTGTTGATTTGTTTGATTCTGGCTTGCAGTGAATACCATTAACAAGGTCACTAGTGCTCATCATTGACTTTGTGTTCTTATTGCATATTTCAAAGTAAATCTTTCTTATGGGTGTCTTCATTCTACCAACTGGACTACATGCATACAGCTCTCTCTCCCTCAAGGTAAGAAGTTGCAGAAATTATGATTTTTTATTCTAATTTGCTGTGAATACTACGAACAAGGTCACTACTGCTCATTGACTTTGCTCTTGCATCTTTCTTTTTATTCTTTTTATGGGCTTGCTCGTTTTATCCACTGGAATACATGCACAATGATCTCTCTCTCTCTCTCTCTCTCTCTCTCTCTCAAGGTAAGAATTTTTGGAAATTTTCTTTGATTATGAATTGTTGATTTGTTTGATTCTGACTTGCTGTGAATACTATGAACAAGGTCATTAGTGCTCATTGACTTAGTGTTGTTGCATCTTTCTTATAAGTAAATCTTTTTTATGGGTTTATTCTATCAAATGGACTACATGCTTGCAGATCTCCTCTCTCTCTCTCCCCCAATCAGAGAAAGCAATTCTTCTTTCCTACTCGAATGTAAATTATGATTTTTCTTTTATTAGCTACCATGGTTTTCTCTTGATGACTTAAATATCCATTTATCTGGACAAGATGCACGGTTCAGTAAGACCTGATAGATTGAAACTCTCTAGCCTGCATGCTACCATAGGTTTGTAGGCTTCTAAGGCTTTACAACAGTGACGCTATTCTTCTAGCTAGCCTGTTGGGTATCAGCTTTTCATATTTACCCATTTATCACCACAGACTACACCCAGGTAAATACTAAGCTCTCTCTCTCTCTCTTCTCTCTCTCTCTCTCTCTTTCTCTCTCTCTCTCTCTCTCTCTCTCTCTCTCTCTCTCTCTCTCTCTCATCTAGACACTCAACAAGCCACCAGTGGGAAGACACACGATCGACTTCTGATCTATGGAACCAGTCATTGGAAGAGAAGTCTGATCTGATGAATGAACATTAAACAGACAATACCAGCAGGCATGATGAAACCCTTGATCGGTAAACATTTATTTTCATTGAATATGGTATTTGATGCATTTGATATCTTTACATATTTAGACTATTCCTGTCCTGATTTGCAAACTGTGATTGTTAAATTTGGACTATACTTTCCATTCTGAGTTGTTAAACTTCCAATGAAGGTGCTGATGACCACGGGATATGGAAACTAAACTGTTGAATTTACTTGTTTTTTTTTGTTATGATATTGTGACTTGGGAGCATTTAAGTCCCCAAAGTCATGTGGAGTCAATGAATGAAAGAGATGCCATAGATAGATTTTAACGATAAAAGAAGCGAGTTTCGCGGTTACCAGATTTTGGGTCTTCCTCCTTTTCTACTTGCTGCATCTCATGACGAATCATCAGCCCGGCCATGACTCTGTCTGATGATGCCAACCCAAGTACCCAACCCAACAAGAGAGAAAGAGAGAGAGAATGGTGCATTAATGAGGATTGTAAGAGGTTGAAGCCTGTAGGCTTTAGTTTCCCAGTTTCCTTCCGTAGAAAAGCTCCTGATCAGCAATGGCAGTTCTCACAGTACTGATGTGGCCTTTGAAAAACCAACATCAACAGTTGAATACATCAGTTTTGAGAGAGAGAGAGAGAGAGTCTTGTCTTCTTGACTTGTGTTTATTATTTTTTTTTTCTTTCTTTTCTTTGAATTAATAAATGACGAAGATCTGACGTTTCTTGGAAAATGAGACAGAAGTCACAGAACGCAAGACTGGGTATCGTCCATGACAACAATCTTCGAGAAGAAGACCATCACCTTTTCTCTGGACAACTTGGCCATCCATTTATTATATCAAACTCCATATAAAAATACATTTGAAATCTTATCTTCAAGCTCACCAATGAATTTAGTACATTTTTTACATCCTCCGTGACATGAAATGATCTTTGTTTGCATGTTTGCCGTACTCTCGAGTAGTTGTATTGTTTAATAGATTAGAAGGAGAAGAGAGACAAACAGAGAGAGTCACGAGCATGTATTGCCTAAGGCAAGCAGCCTACGTGTGATAAACGTTAGATGCTTTGTACTCTTGTCTTATTCATTTGGGTTGAGACTGCTTCACTGTAACTTGTTCTTTCCAACTACTCTTGCTTACTGTGGCTGATACTTCATTCACTGTTCATGAGTTCATCATCTCTCCTGCTGTCTGTATTTCTTCTTCCTTCCCTCTCCTTCTTCTTCTTCTTCTTCTCCTCCTATTGTATGGATGAAACTGATGATGAAGTATGTAGGTACGAGTCAACAGATAATTGACTGCACGGTACGTTTATAAGTTACCCTAAATTTGGTGGAAAATGCCAAGAAATCGGACTACTCAAGCTGATGATTTAAGATCATCAATATTGGTAAAGTGGGTCCTACCCACATACTCTACTTACTATGCCAGTATGCCACACAGACCAACTCATTGATCCTGACCTTTCATCCGTTGCCTCTCCTTGGGCCCACTGGGGTGCTGCAGCACTGCATGGTCCCCACTCCCCCATCCCACCACTCGTACATATTTATCTTACTGTGTAAAAATAGAAACAACTTGAGATGCTTTCGGAAGTCTCAGTCGAAACTGGAAACAAGGAGAGAGCCAGAGAGGTGGGTTGATGATTACTAGGCTTATTGGGACTACGTGACGACTATTTCTTTTCATCTCTGTAAAGATTCGATGATATTTAGTGCACACACAGAAAAGCTTTTTTGATATTCATCTCATCATCATTTCGCTTTTATCATCAGTGATCGAGAGATTTTATAATTTATACAGTAAGTAGACAAAAGAACTTCACTACTGAGCTAGTAGTGACGGAACTGACAACAAGAGAGACTACTGCATGATAGAATTAAGAATTCTTTGGCCCAGCTTTACTTGGGTGTGTCACCGTGTTATATATGGTACAGTCAGAAGCTTTATGTTAGGTTTTTGACTCAACGTTYTACTTATTGGCTTCAACTATAGTTCTTTTTTCTTTTTGTTTTTTGTTTTTTGTTTTACTTTACGCCAGCTTCATCTAGAGTTAACTTTCATTAATTTAGAAAATACCCATAATATAATGTAATTAAAAATTCAAGTATTAAATTTATTTTGCATTTTACCTGTTTTTTTTCTGTCTAATTGAATCATCAGAGACCTTTTATTCAATACTTGTGGTATATATATTAACAAATTTCCACTACTTTGGAGATAAAACAAGACCAGAATACAAAGAGATCAAGCTATGTCTTTACTCAACTATATAAGAAAGTTTTGAATCATCAAGACCTAATTGTTTTATGGAAATGTGATTGTACAGGACCAATGGGGCCACAGCAAGAATTTGAAAAATAGAAAAGAGAAAACTACAAACAGAACATAAAGATCATGTAGTTTATGGAAGACATGAAAAACAACATAAAGCACTAATGTCCATAGAGTAGAATGAAAAATTCAAATTATTAAAAAATCCAAAGAAAACGTGTCTTCCCAAGAATAAGACTTCCTCAAAATCACTTTCTTAATTACCAAGAGAAACACTTTTTGATTCTTTCCATCTCATAGAAGGATCCCTATAGTAGTAGTACCAGAAAAAGCCATGAATTACAAACCTATGTAGAACCACTAACCCAATAATAATTATTGGCTCTTACCTGGTCTGAAGGAATTGTGTCCAACCAAGTGCATTTTTCAGTTAAAAGTTAGGGTTTAAGATTTAGGGGTTTAGGGTTTGTGGTTTAAAATTTAAGGTTTTTATATAAAAATCAAGAGGTTGTTGGGTGAAACTTGAAAGCATCCGACCATTTCTCCCCAATAACCAAGTAAAACATCAACAAAAAGATATCCAAAAGCATGTATTTATAGATGCAGAAGAAGTTTTCCATCCTATAAGAAAACTCCAACAAAAGGTGATAATAGTTTTCATAAATTGTCCAAAAAATTAAAGACTTATTGGGTTGTCTTGGAATTCAATGCACAAAATTCTAACGATTTTCACATTGAATTTCATCAAGTTACTAAAATAACTCCAATAAAATGTAATCTTAGACAGTTGCAGGGAAATCATAGCAATCTTCTTTTTCTTGGATCATCGATTATATTAATACCCGGCATAGACTTCAATGGACCACTGGATTTGATGAAACTATATTTTTTCTTAAACCAAAATAACTCTTTCATCAACTTCTCCAGCCCAAATCTGTTGGTAAATCTTTCGTATCACACCTAAACTCAAGATCTAAATTAGACCCTAAACCTATTAGTTTGAAGCCACTTGTGGAAAATATAATTATATATGATAGATGACACCACAAGAACAAATAGAAAAAGAAAATGACAACGAAAAACAAGAATTTACATGCTTTTTTCATGATTATGGTCAGAAACAAATAAAATAAATCACTAATATCCAAGGAGACTGTAATAAAAATCCAAACCTATAAAAGTCAAAGAAAACTCTCTTCCCAATAACAATGCATCCTTCTCAAAGCTACATATTATAACACTTATCTCATCTCACAAAAAGGAAATTACCCAAAGAAAAAAAAAATAAGAATCTAAAACACAGGATGCAACTTGTGTAGAATCCCTAATAATAAATGAAGAACCCTCAGTGAGGAACTAAAGTCTCACACCAAAAAGATATCCCACAGCATGTACAAGGACCATTTTTCTTATACCAAACAAAATACCAAGAAAAAAATGGTATTAATTCCAAATAGGAAAACTACCCAAAAAGACTTAATGACTTTCATTGGAATTCAAAGCACAAAATCCTAACAATAACTTCACTCTTTCATTCACAATCACAAAATCATTAGACTACAATATATTAAATGCACACAACAAGCAGCAGAAGTAATCTCAAAAAGTAAATCAGTTTTTCTATTTAATACTCAATATCAAGAATATATTCATTTGTAAATTCCTTCTAAACTAATAGCTCAGAATCTTTCAATAAACACAAAGCTCTTTCAAATTTTATTTTTATTGCAAAGAGTAATTACACAATAAATTTATTTATACAAAAATAGATGGCAGGTAACTATGATCCTGGAAAGACTAAAAACAAGCACAACATTAAACAAAAATAGAGATGAGCTTCAGTCAGTGCAAGACCCATTAGAACACCGTTCAAATTAACAGTCTTTAATTATAGCCTTACATTGAGAATATCTCCGTACTAATGTGCTTTATTTTATGGGGAGATATTCCCAATGCAAGGCTACAAAGGCTGCTTGAACGGGCCTTTGCACTGACTGAATCCAGTTTCACAAAAATATGCTTAAAGTGATCATATATGTCATTTTCTTTCCATTTAGCAGTTTTTTAGGGATCATAAGGTTTTAAAAGTTAAAATCGTGATGAGTTAGATGACATAGAAGATGATATGGCAAATTTGATTACTGATAGTTACATGCATTTTACTGATATAATTTCTTTTTTTTTAAAGAAAAGGATAAATTTCACTGTCTCCCCTATGTTTTCAGAAAACTTTCAACCATGCACTTCCCTTATTTCTCAAAAAAAACAAAAAGATGTTCTTCACCTCCTATGTCCCATGAAAGGGAAGTGTTCAAATAGAAATACCTTAAACTCAGTTGGCAAAAAAAAAAAAAAAAGATCACTATAAATGCCATTTTTATAGTTGAGTCAATACAGCACAACTTGTATTGTGATAAAAACTAAATTAATGAAATCACAATGCACTCATCACAATAAAAAAAAAAATCAATTGGTTCAAGGTTGATTTAGTTTGAATTTTAGGTAGTTTTTCAATAGTATAAGCACTTTGGAGTCATTTTCATCATTATGATAAGCCCAAACAATACTTGGTTCATGCAAAATTGATACATTAAATTGCTCTATACTGTTTATGTCCATGACTAATTTCAGTGCTCTCTCTAGATTCAAATCAATGGGTGTCAAYGGATGCATTATTGTTTGGGTGGCTTATGTATTTGACTTTGGTATATATGAAGAAGAAATTGAGCAGAGCTACTAAAGTGCAATTTATCCTAAATACTTATTTTGTACAGCTATTGAAAGGTATCTGTCACGTTTGGTCTTAGGGAAATATTTAAACAGTTTATAGTAATAAATTATGGTTATAATCAGGATCTTGTACATGCATATTTTCCCTGCAATCAATATTTAATGAATAAAGAACTATAATCTATTAAAATTTTCAGAAACCACCTTGGTTCCATGGTTTATATATGACTATTAAATTTAGGGTTCGAGTATGATATACTGAGAAGGCATAATATCAGAAAAACTTGTAACCAATCAACCCGTATCATAAAAATGGTAACCAACCATGGTATTTATCAAAATTCACCAGGGGTGGGATTGATTAATCAAAGCTTTTCCAGTATTACCTCTTTCTAGCAGCATAGATTTTCCATTAATATCTACTAAATAATAATTTTATTTAATTGTGTGTTGCAAGTTGAAGRACCTAGAAGGGATGGGGGTAAATCAAAAAGGACATGGGTTGAAGTAGTAAGAAATGAATTAAGTGCCCATAATTAACAAAGGATATGGCATTCAACAGAACGAAACGGCAAAACAAGATTCATGTATGCTGTAACTGACCCCAAATAGTTGGTATAAGGCTTGGATGATGGTGGTGAGCTAATTATGTGTGTAGCATTATATATAATAAATCAACCATTAAAATAAGGACCATTGTAATTTAACCTTCAGAGTTGTGAACCTCTATGGTTGCTAGATGTTTATTTCGGCTCGATCCATTTGAACAGAAAACTTTTCAATCTGAATGAATATTTTAGCTATATATATTCCTGCGTCTTTTATGGAGAAAACAAACTCTGCCACCAGCTTTACATGGAAACATAGAGTTGAGACTTAAGATATCAAAGATAACATAATTAACATCTTTGGATTGAGGAGATGGAAAGATATTCTTACAATCAAATGAATATAATAAAAGGGTCCCCATAGCCTGAGTACTTCATGTTTTATCCATCAAGAGTCAAGACCCTCTTACCAATGTGATCCATTTGGAAGATTATCAATCTTTATGCTATTCTGATGAAAGGAAAATATATATATATTTTGGAACAGAGTGAAGCTAAATAAATGTAATAATTTATTGAAACTTTCCTTTTTATTCATTTACTTTGTATCTTTAACTTCTAAAATAAAGTGAAAACTTTAGTGCTTTCCCATTTCAGAGGGTCAAGATGTACCTGACAGGACTTTGATAATTTCATTTTCTCTTTTTTCTTTTTTTTTATACAAACTGATAATAATTTGATTGATGAAATCCAAAATCCCCACGTACCATATTTGGACTCTAATCAGATCGACAAGACAAGGACCTGATATGGGATCAAGTTATGAGTAATATCACCACCAATCGATTTGACAAGATAAGTCATTACATATTACAAAGGAAATTGATTCAGTGAGCCTTTTTGCTGGTTTGGATTGAAATTTGAATAAAAAGTAGTTAAACATTTTTTTTTTCAATTAATAACCTCTTAGGTGGGACCCATCTCCTGGTGCTCATATAACAAAGCAAAATCAACAATATTTAGGTCTAAAGGCGACCTATGACTATGAGGCTAACAGTACTACCATCATTTAGGTCAACCTTATTGCAATAATTTTCACCAAATAAAAACCTTTATGCAGTAATTAATCTCCCTTTTGGATGATGTGTGGGTTCATTTAATATTGACTCTAGCATTTTATCAAACGGTTATGATAGTGTTTTAAGATCCATTTATTGGCCAGGTCTGGTCCTCCTGTCCTACATCGACAGCTTTAATTTGGTTAGAGAAACCTTGGGCACAGGGGAATGTCCGAAGGTAAGTATTGAGAGCTTGAGCATCTTGAGCACACAGGCATGAACAAATGATGTGCAGTGCAACGCATGCGCCAGCATTGTCATGATAAACTATTGATCACTTAAATCTAGGTATGCCGTCTATTGATTAATTAATACTTGTTTGGTAAAAGGAATTAATATTGATGCTTCAAGCTTTTAAAGCCTACTGTTACAGGATTTTCAGCATTTAAGGGCTAAAATTAATGGCAGATAGATTATAGACCATCAGTCTGATGGGGTTTCTGTCTATATATGTAAGTTGTTCTATGGTTTCCTTGCTTAACATCATGAGCACTATATACCGCACTTGAATTATATTGCATCTTTTTCTTCCTCCCTTTTTGATCTCAATCCTTCAAAACTGTAATGGCTAGACCTGATGTGGAAACAAACATGGACACCCATTTTAAGCTGTCACTAACTGCCACTTGTATCTGCTGCATCCTTCATATATAGCAAACTCTTTTTAAATTTTGATTTAGCATATTAATTAGTTTCATTTTTACTTGTTATAATCAATGTTTTGTTAACATAAATCAAAAGAATATCAAAAACCCATCATTAATTAAATACTCTAAAGTAAACAGGAGGATCATATATACTCACTTTGGTTGCTGTGAATCCTCATCATGAAACAATCAAAATTTTTGTACCACTGCCATTGATTGCTTTAGTGAATTGGGAATTGGGTGATCTTTTTAATTAATTAGTGTCTACTGTCGCCTCTTAATGTCCTTGCTATTTGAGACCATCATTTTTTGAACAGTTAGAGAGCTGAGTGAGTTGTATCAAATATCTTCATTTTTAAAGTTGGTGTTCACCATTAATTATTATGTCTATCATCATGTACAACCTTATGAGTTTGATCTGATATCAATTTATAGAAGAGTAATGTTAGCCAGTTCTGGGGTCCATGTTAAGCCCAATTGCATCACAATGTGATGGATGTACAACTCAATGAACCACAAACTAGTAAACAAATAGGATTAAAGAGCTTGGTGGCTATTTTCTTTCTCTCCTTATATCACTCTTAGATTATATTCTTAACTTAGTCCATATATAAGTAGTGCAAATATCTATAGCCATACCAGTTGGGTAAGTGTGAAATCTATATATACCCCGTGATCGATCAGCAAGCAATAGAAGACAACAACCCAGAAAGCAAATAGAAGTGATTCACCAAATTAAAGTTGATATCAAGGAGGTAGAGAGCAAACTTATCGGAGAACCAATCAACCAATAAAGGTTCTAAAAACTTTAAATGGAGCGCTCTCCAAATATTGCAAAAGATTATTAGTTCTCATTCGACTAGTCCAAAACCAAAAGCAAAAATCTTTTCTGGCATTATATATAGTAGTCTTCTTAAATGTAACTAAAGAACTTTACCAAAAAAAAAAAGTGAAGAAACTATGTGAAGATCAAAATATATCTTAAGGAGAAGCACATAAAATTCTTTTCTATAACAAATTTTATCATAAAAAACAACAATTAATCGTTGTTGAAAAAGGGTGCAATGGCTGCCTTCTGGATGTTTTGGTCAAAAGGATTAGGCATTGATTTACTATTTCGTTTTCTTATTTATAACATCAAAGGCTCTCTGTATTAAGCTTTGAATGATTTACAGCCCGCCCCCTGAAAAACAATTAGCAAATAAGATGGCTTTCTCGTAGCTAGAGTACTGAATAAAACTCGGAAACAGTCTTTCCAAAAAACCCCCAAAGAAACAACTTTCTCAGGACCTAATTAAATAAGTTCCTTACTAGAATAATCCGTGCTGACAGGCTTAATTAAGTCGTTACTCTTATTTATTGCACTCACATCCATATCCTCCCAAAGTGCTTTCTGTCCTATGATCCTTAATGCATGCCTTCAAAATTAAAAGGAGGATCAAGTCTGATTGACTAATTAGTATTTAATTGGACGAGAGAAACCACATTTGTTAAGACTGAAATTGCCTATTATAAGGTTTACTGGGTGCTTTAAATTCCGGCCGGTGAAAGATGGATGATAGCTAGGCTTGTACTGCTGAAACTTGTTTTTACATCCACCTAGCTACCAAATAATCGCCAACTGTAGTTCTGTGGGCTACAATATAAAGCCCTAGACAAATCAATCAAGCGTTCTCTCACTGAGATTCCTTAACTCATAATAAACTACTAGTGTCTAGATGGGGACCAACCATGCATTTCTGTTCAATGGAAGCTTGAAAACAATTTTACCTTAATAATTAAGCTTTGCTAGCTATTATGCTTTTGGATGTACATGCCCACAGCAAACTCATAAAGATTACTATATTCATATAGCTTCTTTTTTTTTCTTTTCTTTTTTTTTTGTAAACTATATCTATACTCATATAGCTTCTAGTTAAGAGGTTTGTTTAATTTGGATGAACTTGCTGTCTCTCCATTTCTTTTGTTGAAATGAGGGAAAGTAACCTTGACACTTATTATTGAACAAAGAAAACTTTGGCAAATATTGGTTTCCATGCATATGAACCAATATGAAGAAAAAAGCCTTCCAAAGAAAATGCAAATGCATGGTAATTAAGTCAAGAGGGAGGAAGGCAAGTCACAGAACAAGTGAGACCACCTAGCTACCTAACCTACTATACTGTGTCAATTTTGATGGTTCTCATCTAATAATGCGCATGGTTTATCTGATATGGTAGTCTAAGAAAATAAGTTATGTACTGTAGACTGTAGAACACATAGTACTGAAATTAGAGAGAGAGAGAGAGAGAGAGAGAGAAGCAAGAGTATACCAGCAGCAGCAGCTAGATGCAGACCCCCATCAACGTATTGCATGGGTTTCATTTCATGAAGCTACGATAGCAGCTTATAAGGCGGATTGTTTCAGACTACCTGATTTTAAATGCAGCCATATATCCATGTGGGTTAGCAAAGAATTGTTGATCATGCACCCGTTTAAAGTTTAGACCACCTTTGTCGTCCTTCTGATGCTTGGCTTACGAAGGCAGGCCAGAATGAAAACCGGTGTGGTGTAGTCTTGTAGCAATTGGCCCTCTCTGCGTCAGCATTATTGCTGTGGAGATTGCCCTTAGGTCATTCTTTAGCCAGCCTGCGCTTTTAATTAGAACGATAGGTCATGCATGTTCACCAAGAATGATCTCAAATTTGATCTTGTTCTTTTGAGATTGGTCCTTTTAATGACATTTGAGGATGACTTCCAGAGCATTTGCATTGGAGATTAAAGAGGAAAATATCAGAATTCGTTAACTGGCCTAAGAAGATATGGGTGTCAACTAGATTTCAATCTCTCTCTCTCTCTCTCTCTCTCTCTCTGTTTTCAAAAACAAAAAATCAATCTCATTTCTTTTTTTTTTTTAAATTATTAGATCCCAATCTTATGACTCAATATTGCCTCTTATCTGAAAGACCTTCACTGAATCAAACTCCCACTTGAACACACTAGGCAGGATTTTTAACTTTTTCCCCTTTTTCTTTCCCTTCGGGTCATTTAGCCGGTTGGGACTTGAGCCTCCCTTGGTTGGGTGCTGTAGAAAACTAGGAATTTCAGGAAATAGGAAAGCTATACCAAAACCTACTGAGTACTGACTCCCTCTCTTCTGGGTCATACAGCTCCATGTATTGACCAAAATTCTCAGAAGGAGAGGAAGCTACTGGCTAGTAGTGACTTCATTTCATCAAGTCCGCTTTAGAGACTGTACTGGAGGCTGCATCCTCTTGCCCGTTTGTTAAAGGCATGTAACTCTGACATGACTAAAGCCAGAGAAGGCTCTCCTCGGTGCCTACACATCTTGACTATTTTCAATCATTTCTTAGGTGATAAGCCATTTATAAGGAAAAAAGCAATTTCTGAGTTGTCATAACATATGATACAGGTAATTATAGATTAGAAGGCACAACACTGAATGAAAGATCTTTATGAATAATATTAAATAAATAAAGCAAACGGAAACCACAAATGCAGAACAGTGAAGTAGCAGAATCCTCATCTTGACTTCTTGAGCTCCAAGCAAGCCCACTATGCATGGACATAATGTCAGATTGGTAGTTTGGTACCTCTCTCTCTCTCTCTCTCTTCTTTCTTGTTTAATATATCTTTAGTGCATAGTTAATACTTAGAATACAAGGCATCTAACACAACAATGTATTCACGCGTCTAATCATCATCATCATCTGAAAAGATATACACATGGTCGGGACTGCGAGTAGGATGTCCATCAACAGATACCAAGTACTCCACCTCAGAATTATGTGGAAAGCTATACATTTAATGATCAGTTGATAGTAATGGGATGTTAGATCTCTGGGTATTTAGAATTATGATGATAATCAGTTGTTAATGGAGAGCAAGAGGAGCGTCTTTGGTTACCATCTGCAACTGCTTCTTTCAGAAAGGGATATAGAGCAGAAGGGTATTGGCTATTGGGGATCGTATATAATCCCTCCACTCTTTCATTGGAAATGAATGCCTTGTCTCCTTTAAACAGGTGAAGGGAGCACCAGAAGTAGCACTGGCAAGCCTGTGGACTAGACAGACCTGCTCCTGTTTCCTTCTGTAAGCAAATTATATGGAGGCCTGCCATCATCTCCTATGGAAGATGAATTATTCAATACCATGTAAATTTCCTTCTTACTACTGTTGTCTGGTGAAAATGATGCAATTATACTACTTGAATATTATGATTTTTTTTTGTTTTATTTAAAACATGCTTATATAGTACCACAATATGATAACAATTTTAGAAAGAATATATTGTTCATGATTGGCTAAAGATAAATGGTATGATCTTTTTTTCCCTTGATATTTGTTCTGGAAAGACTACTGAATTCATTATTCATTGTTCATGAGACCATATGGTGGAAATTTGACCCTGTAAATAAAGTGATGGAGATTAGATTGGAAGGAAAAGGATCAACATCAATATTTCATGGCTAGAATGCCTGGTTGTTGCAATTGAACATATCCAATCGAAAAAGAAAATACAGATAAATGATTAACAATCGAACATATCCACTGATGATCTCGAACTCGAACCTCTACTGTTTTCTAGTCTAGCAATACCTTGGTGTAGATTGTTTGTTTAGATGTTGATGGTTTTCCCCCCTTCAACCAAGATGAACTGTTAATGGCGTCTACTACAAGTTTTGGACAACATTACAACTAAATCACAAAATGACAAAAATATGCATACATCACCCCTTAACTTTCCATATTTACTCAAAATTCCTATCGTCCCTTGCAATTCGATCCACCCATGACCCATATACAAGACCAATGAATTGTTCCTTTTTTTATTTCAAATTCACTGTTACTAGTTTTTTCTCTACCACGCGAAATCCTTGTTCACCTTTTCAGGTAAATTGTCCTCGCAAAAACCAAAAGAAAAATGTAGACATATGTTTCTTCTGCTTCTAACATTTTAGCTCCTAGATAATTTAAACAGTCTACCAAACAAAAAAGTAACTTAAATGCAACTTCTTGGAACTTGTCACAGGCCATTTGGTCTTCATGCTACATGACTGTAACTCTCAAGGCAACTACCCGACATGTTATTTCTGAGATAATTTAAACACTTACAAACCTTGTTGATTTGTTATAGACCATCCGGTCCCCTTTTTCATATGCTACATGTACGTTTGCTCATATAAAACCTCTTTGTTTAAGAAGGGGAAGTGATAGAACTGCGTATAGTCCATATTAAAGAAACATTAATTGGCTTGACATCAATAAATAATACCTCTGGAGAACATTAAAAAACAATGATGATACTCGTGATTACATTGGAATGGAGGGCTAAACCAAATAACTGCCCAAGAAATTTGTTCATTCAATATCTTAACAGCAATATATATACAAAAGCTTTGCTTGGAGAGGGTTAAAGGCAAAATTACATCCATGGATGGGAAGGTACCATTCCCAGTACCTCTTTTCTTCAGTCTTGGCATCTGGGATTTTAGGATCTACCCATAACAGGGTCAATGACCAAAGTTCACTAAGTTTATTCCAGCATCCTTCATTTCTCCAAACAGGAGTTATTGTTAGCTGACCTCCATGTCCAGTGTTGCTTTGCCATAGTGGCCATATTGAGCCAACAATGACAAATCTTCAGGAGATAATGTGAAATCACAAGTACTCAAGTAGTGCCGAGCAGCCCGGGCCCTGTGAATAAAGATGAGTCAGCATCCAACGATGTTTTGGCATGTAAGATTTTGTTTAACAAGRACATACCTGCGGCTTTTTGTCCTATTGTTTTGTGATGAACGAGAAGCTCCTAACCTCGAAATCTGACCCAGGGAAGACATGTACTCATGGAGCGCATCACTTTTCAGAACCGAGTAAGATCTTGGAGGAATCATTGATTGAATTGTATTATGGAGATGCAACATTATTTTGCTGCATTACAAATGCAGACAAAAGGTAAATTACTGGATGACAATAAATCACACATTCAAAACAAAACCCCCAAGTAAGAAGAGCAGATGCTGAGAAAAAATTATGCCCATTTGTAGAGCTCCCATGCACCACAATAGTGCTAAACAAACACTTGATCATTGGATATGGCATTTTTATCTGGAGATCATCTCATTAACAGGAACATCTCTATGATTGATGGCCATCCATGTCAACCTTTTCTATGCTTTCTTGTTGTCAGGAAGGGTAGCGGAGCATAGTTATGGATCACAACTAGATCTTTCTAAACTCAAAAAGATTAGCTCTTTACCTTGTCGCAGAAACTTTACTTGGTCGCCCAATTTCCCAAAGCCGCCTGCTACATGAAGTCTGATTTGTGCTTATATCCTGTCTGACCAGCTTACCCAAAGCCATTGTGTTAGTTGCACATGTTAACATCTCCCAGGACAAATCCAATCTGTGCTCAGAACCTAAATTAGATTCCACAGCAGCATTTTCCTTCTCAAAAAAGCAAAGGCCATGTTCTGCAATTGTTGATGTCATATCCAGTTGGTCATGGCACCAGCAGAATGCATCAGGTTCCACACAAGGCACCATTGGTGGAGCCAAAGAATCCTGCAGAAATGGCTCATTAGCAGGGTGACCAAAAGTCAACACTATTTAGAAAAGTCCACCACCACCACCGAAAAAAAAAATTAAAGTTATCCTAACACAAAATTTTGAGAAGCTAAAGATCCCTTACACTAATAAGCAGTTGGCAGTGACGAAGCAGTATGTCAGCTTCAGAAAATAGATTGGTCAATCCAGATGCAAGTTTTACAATCTGATATACATGATTATGTTCTGACGTAACATAGGGTTTCAGCTCTTCACGACAGCTACGTAATTTTTTCCATGCCTCCTTGACTGGATCAGATGCAAACCTAAAACTTTTTATGAATGTGGTACCCTTGTAGAAATCCATTCGGCTACACTCATCCATGACTTGATATCCTCTGCTTACAGTTGCCACATCTTCATTTTGAGAATCCCCTATCTCCTCATCTCCTTGAACAGACACTGCGTCTACATCAGAGATATTTCTCAATAGGGTTTCTACATTCTTATCTAATTTAGCTGTAGTATCTTCTATGTTTTCAACACCCATCAAGGACATGCTTTGAATTGACCTGGCATTACTTGTAGAATCTGCTTCTGCCATTACAGTAACATTACCACAAGATACCGTCCCACACAATAATCCCCCTCCACTGATTTCTGTTTCAGGAACAAATGAAGATTCCGGTACACATGAAACATCAATTGATTTGCATGTATCTTGTTGATCACTTATTTCTAAACATTTATGGAGATTTTGTTCTGATATTTCCCCTTCAGAATGATGTAATTGACAAGTGGCAGATGGGTCTAAGTAATTATGAGTTGCTGCTACATGAGAAGGGGACCTAGCAAAGCTACCTGGTAAGACTTCAACTCTTGGATCTTCTGACACCTCTGGAAGTTCCCCATCTAAGCACTCATCTCCAGATGGGGAAGACATTATTGCATTGTGTCCCTGCCTCACAATTCGCCGAGTGAACGTAACTGGGGAGCCAGATGAATCGGAGTCACAAATCCCATTGAATTGAGTCGTAAATATATTTTCATCATGAATGGAGCAATTTCTGAGCATCACTTCCTTCTTTGCCTTGATACTGTCTATTTCGTTGTTGCCCACCCCAAAGGCATCCTCAACTTCCTTGAGTGCTTCTTCCTCCACATCCATTAAGCCTTCATTTTCCTTCATCATGGACAATGACTTGGTGATCTCATTCTCCACTAGCTTTGATAATTGAGAAGAAAATTGCCAAGGGATTATCTTTGGCAAAATCCAATGCCCAGCCTCAAGATCAAATGGCAGTTCTCCATATGCACAGTGCACTTTATTGCCTGAACAGTTCAAAAGACTAAATTACAAATCTCAGCAGTGAAATATAAATAGCAAAAGGAATGAAATTTTAATCAAAGAAATGACTGAATGTACATTCATATGTGACAGATGCCCATAGTCTATCCATAAAAAGATCATCGCCAAATAAATCCACTCAACCATCTTTCAGTTTGTACTTTTGGGTTTACTAATATAAGGAAAGAATTTCTGTATTCTTTATGGTCTTAGGCTCTTAGTAACAGCAATAGATCTTCCATTTTCCACCCTACATGAATAAATAAACACCAATGTTTTAAAACATGGAGGCGTGACGCGAGGCGTTCCACTACCTAGAGGCGTGAGGCGTAGTTCAGAACGCAAGAGGCGTAAGCCTCCCAAACACAAGGAGGCGTAAGCCTCCTTAAGGGGGGGGTTAGGAGGAGGATGAAGAGGAAGGGGGGATCTCATTTTTTCTTTATTTTTAATAAAAATCTTTTACATTAAGAAGAATAAAGATGCATTTCGACAAGACCCCCCCCCTAACTCAAAAAAAACAAATTGGGCTGCATCGAAAAGGGGGAGGGGGGGTAGCCCCCCAGCCGAAGGGGCAGGTGGCAAACCACTTTCTTTCCCCTTATCTTTTCTTCCCTTCCCTTTCCTTTCCTTTTCTCTTTTTTTCTTCTCTTTCTTTTTCTTTCCCTTCCCTTTCTTTTCCTTTCCTTTTTTTTCTGTCTTTTTATATCAGATGTCCATGAGGCGTACGCCTCAGAGGTGTCAGCTCCTCTGCCATACGCCTCAGGGCGTTTTGGGAGCACCTCCATGCGTACGCCTCCCACGCCTTTTAAAACACTGATAAACACAAAGTGCTTGCTACTTTGCTTCAATCAAAATCAACATGACATTTTCCCAAATCAAAAGTCTGTTCACTCTATATTTATAATAGTAAAGCCTGTTACTTTGCATCACAAACCCAAAAATACTGAGGCATATATTCTTTGTTAAATCTGATTAAACATTTCAAGAGAAAAATGCAAAATGACTCCATATTTTGTATTTGTCTCAGTAACAGGAATCCCATGATTGTGATCTGCAAGGAAAAATATTCTAATTATGAAACTAATAGTTAAAACATTTTCATGTGCATGACTGGCAAAGTAGAGGGGCAAAAAGATGACAATAGTTGAGCTTCTATAGGTTTTTAAAGTAACATGTATTTATTTCTCTCTAGTCATTAACCTTGTTGATGTCTTTTTCCCTGGCACCAGAACTGGAGCAGCAGCATGGTTTTCCGAATATCACCTTGGCAGCATTCAATAAACCTCTCTATTAGTTGTGGTTGAACATCAGCTTTTTCTGCAGTACAAACCTACAGAGCATTTAAAAGATATGAATCCCAAAAACAGGGTGGAGAATTCCATATGAAAGATGCTGAGAAAAAGCATAGAAAGCTCTGAAAGTTTTTACCATGTATATGTGAGAAAACAGTTCCTTCGGTGATGGAATTGTAAAAGACACCTCTAGTCTATCCAAATGATCTGGCAGGAGAGGATCCTCACCTGCAATTGACCAAATTAGCATTCTGAATAACAAAAGGTAGAAATCTAGAATGTGACTCAATCTTAAAGTTCCTAATTGGCCAGAACTCTTACAATTGCTTGTTAGTATAATTGGACGCCTTGCTTTTTCAGCAAATTGTTGTATTGCAGAAACAAAACCACGATCTTCATCAAAAACGATATCTACATCCTCAAAAAGGACCAATGTCTTTCTTCCACCATGAGTAGATGCAGTCCCATTCTCCTTATAACCATTTGCATTATTTGCAGACTCAATCATTGTATTCTCCGCTTCTTCCTCATCTGTTGAGTTCAGTTCAATTACCTCACTGTCAAGCTCTTGGGATGCTCTGCTATGTAGTGGAGCTGAGGAAAGTCCCAAGATAGGATTCTTCAATGAGCCCATAGAATTCTTTGTTGACCTGAAGAAGTGTGAGTCATTTCATCAACAAAGAAGAGAACAAAGTTTCTTCAGGAATTAAGTATATGTTCTATAATGTTTCACAACTTACTCAGGTCACATAGCACTACAATTTGAACTCAGAATAGGAACCCAAAAATATATGGCAGGCAAGATAATATTTATGTCTTTACATCTCAACAAATATGTGCCTCCCTGCTTCTTCTATCTTCTGTTTTTTATGTATTCTGTATTTTTTTACTAGTCACCCAAAACCATTACATCTGAATCCCCCCATCAATCTTCCCACAAATCCTTCCCAAATAGAGCAGACTTCAAGCTATATATCTCTTCAGTCAATCCAGTGATTTAAGAACACAAGACACACAAAAAAAAAGCACAAAGGGCATTTTGCACCCAAGGCACGAGGCAAAAGGCAAGGCACAAAGTAAAAAAAAGATCAAAAATTGCAAAAAAAAATGTAAAATTAAAAATAAATTATGAAAATGTTAAAATAGGCATTAATTAGAAATGCAAACTTTAATTTTAAACTAAATATTTAAAAAAAATGTATTAGCTCAAATTAAAAATGCAAATAATAAAATCAAATATAGCATATAAAACATATTCACGTATGTCAAACTTTCAACTTCATCATTTCTTTCCAAATTGCACTATTTCAAATAGGCAATATGATGTTAAACATATCTTATTCCTAATTCTACAAGCTTCTTTTGTGCCAAGCCCTTTAGAGGCAAGCCCAAACAAATCCATGTTATGGTCTAATTTCTTAATCCCTACAAAAAAAATGGTTTTATAATTTTTATTATCTTTTACTAGGAAGAATGAATGAATAACATTAGCAAGTTCGGATAGAAATAAAGAGTGTCATTGTTAAAACAAAACAAACAGATGTGTCTGAATGTATTTATAGTTTTCATAGTGTCATTAGCAAGTTGAATTCATAGTTCTCATTAAAACAAATGAACAAACAAATTAAACAGATGTGTCTGAATGTATTTATGCATGTGTTGAGATAGTATCATATACCATGTCATTGTTATGTAGCTATTTATTATGCAGCTCGAAAAATAAAGAGTCCCATGTCCCATAATATTCACCTTAGAACATAAAAACACATATAGCATTACCGTGTTTTCAGGAAAAAATTGTTCAATACCCAAAAGCATTCATAAGTAAATATTCGATCTGATCAAGTGGTCAGAAGTGTTCAAGCTGGTTGACAAAAGGTTCAATTGAACATTTTGACATAGTCTATACCACTTCAAACATAGGTAAGAGGAAAAGGCTTTAGAGCTGAAAAGCATGTAAACAACTTAAGTACAGCCAATAAGAAATCATTAGCCCAAGAGAGTACATTGCAAGCTTTAGAACACACATTCATTATGGAATGTTTTGCTATACCATTTAAATCTATGGGATTCTACTGCCTCTTTGAACTTTTCCTTCATAAGAGCTCCATTTCGCCAATCAGATGCACTGACCTAGCAAAGCAACAGGTATCATTTTTCATCAATACTATACTTATTAAATTATGGTTAAATTGTTAAACCTTTAAAATATTCAAGTTTGAATTATCAGAAACTGAAAAAATCACATCACAGATGAAGTAATGTCATTATGAACAATTCAATTAGTACCTAAGGTCCATGAATCAGGCCCTAAAATAATTTAAAACAAAAAACAATGCATCTCAGCTAAATGTCTAACATCATAAATGGTAACAAGACTGCTAGATAGAAATAGAATCTCAATTCTAGTTAGAATAGGTAACTCAACCACGGCTAAGCTAATATCTCTTACATGGAGGTCCCGAAATTCAGTATCTATGGTTTATAGGACACTTAAAATTTAGGAGGAATTCATCCAGAGGAAATCATCTACCAAATCAGAGTTTAGATTTTCAGCATCCAGAGGAAACTCCTTGTTCCATTGGATTCCTAGGTGAGCCAATTCCATTTTCTTTCAAGAAGGTTTTGAGGATTAAGCTATATTGGGGCTTTTCATTACTGAAATAAGGGTTTTTGTACATATTCTTAAGTGACCCAATTGAAGGTACAAGTATTTTTGGGTTTTATTGTACTGAATGTTGGGAACTGGAACTTTGAACTTGCATATACCCACCATTTTCTATACCAGTGTAATAATACTTTCACTGTTATTATTATTAATTGGGGGGACAGAGGGATTTGGTGAATCTAGTTACATTGGTATTCCAGTTAATTAGAAAGAACCAGAAGAATGAAAACAAAGATAAAAGACATGGTGCAACACTGGGTGGCCTCATCTGTGATCTGACACCATAATAAAGGTACAATTGGATTCATAGTACAAGGATAGGTAGTAAACAGGTAAATTTGACAGGCATTCTAAAACCAAGTTATTTTCCCATCCTTGAAAAGTTGGTATTTCTCCTGCTTTGATAACTTCCAAACCTCCCCCTCAAGCTTTTTTAATAGGAAGTGTCTGAAGCAACATTTGTTAGGCTCAGAGAAAATAATCTTTTGAGAAACAAACCCTGAATCTACTCCACCTTAGGAGAAAGCCATCTTATGGATCAAGTAGTCGACAAACTCCCATGATAAATGGTTGTAGAATTTAAAAAGAAAAATCTATCTTGCACATAGTGATATGAAATTTGATCAATGTCATGAGGGAAGATAGGGCAGGGTTAATAATGGACTTGAGGGTAGGGAGGAGGAAGTGGCAACTCATTTGCTGTTTGAGAATGATATCCTTCTTTTTTGCAAAGATGATCAAATGCTTTTGTTGAAGTTTG